TCTTTCATAGTTTGTTCTTGTAATTTACTTTCAATGATTTTACCTTTATTAAGGATCTTTTCCAACATTTTCCATTCCTTAAAAGCTCTTTGCTGGTCAGACGAATTTTCATATTCAGGCATTTTTGAATTAAGTTTCCAGAACTTTTGAAATCCTGGATTTTTTGCTAGACTTGATTTGCGTTGCTCCGTCTTCAGGAAGAGGCGACAGAAGAAACAATAAAGAGATTTGTTCGTCTTTGAGTGCAGAAACCATGATCTCAAAACAGTCTTTCCATTCTCCATAGTTTTGTAAAACCATTGTTGTAGCATTATCCTTGGACCATTTTTCTCCAGTATTACAGAGGGAGTAAACTATTCATCTTTGTTTTGAAACTTTTTAGGTCCGAATGTTACAAGATCAACAAGCAACTGCCCTGAGCAAGTTCGTGGCCAAAATACGATGTCTTCGTACACAGCAATCTCTGTGTTTGCCTGTTCTATTTCTTTATTTCCAGTAACTTCATCAGTTCCTTCATATTCATACCTGATCTTACCAAATGCACTGAAGCTTTCTTCCTTTCACACATCATCAGCCACCTTCAATTTCTTTAACAACATTAATTCCTGCAGGAAAATTCTCTTCAACTTTTATTTCTATATTTGTCTGCACCATATTCGCATTTTCTACATGTTCCTCCCATCCTATTTCTGATATACATTCATCATCCTCGTCTTTGCATTTTGCTTTAGCTATATATGTCTTCTGTAGGAAAACATGTAAAGATGCAGCACATTTTCTTTCCTCTCGTTCTTTGGTAGTTTTCAACTTGCGGTAAGCCGTACCACTCAGTTTTTGCCGTTTTTCTCATTCTAATCGATGAAAAAATAGAAAAAGAAACAAATAGAAAAAGAGCTTACTCAACGGCATAGGTAACTTTTATTAAGATATAATTTTGCACAAGGCTGAAAGTGGTGTTGTAAAAAAAAAGGTTGATAATTTTTTAACTATCCCAAACTTAGCTCGGCACATTCGTGACCCATTCGCATCTTAAAATGGCATAGGGGAGTGTTTCTTAAAAATAGAAGTAAATAATTACAGGAGTTTATCCTATATAGCCAATGATTGTCTAAATCATTTCTTAAATTCAATTTTTAAAATTTACTATCCTTTTTTTCTTATACATTTTTCTTATCCTTTTTTTATTTTATTTTCATATTCAATATGATAATTTAAAATTTAATCCATAGTAATGGTTGTAATAAAAATAACTGAACATTGAACATTTGTATTAAAAATCATTAAAATTTTATAAGAAATTTTCACTTCTGATACTTGAATTATACATTAATTTAGTCTCCAGAGAATTGACTGACAATTAATTTTTTAGGCAAATTAATTACCCCCCTTATTATTTTGCCGGCGTATACTTTTTTAACCTTACGGCGTTATGAAAGATGGTAATGAAACTAAACTAATAAGGACAGAAATATTTAATAACAATTTATTTATTTCCATCAGTTTATTTGGTTATTTAAAAAATATTCGTGTTTTAAAATAAAGTTTTTAAAACAATAAACATTAAAAGTCAATATTAAATAATTACACTTCTGACTTAACTTTGTTTTTGCTTTATTAGAAAAAAAAATCTTTAATCTTTTTGTGTTTCTACTACTCAATGTAAAAAAAATAAATAAATTGGGTCAATTAGAGAATCTCTTTCCGCCAGACGTGATTGGGAGATTCTACAGTTGAGTTGGCATGGAGATTCTTCACTTGATCTTAAATGAATATTTAAAAATATTTTAAAAATCGTTACGGAAGACTTTAAAGTGTAATATTTGAAAATTTTACATCTAAAAAAATCTTAACTTATCTATTTATATTACAAACTTAAGATTCTTAGTTTGTAATGCTAATATAAAATTTAATCTTGTAATATGCACTAGATTCGATTTTTCTGAAAATGCTTAGTTTAAAAATCTCTAAAAAAATTAAAATTTAATGTAGAATGTTGTTATTTTCACATAATAATTCTAAAAAGTGATTTTTATGGGAAATCTATTGAAATCTCTGAAGAGCGTGATATTTATACAGTTCTTGAGCATTAAAAATTGCAAGTTTAGTAAAACTTTCCAAAATGTAAAGTAAATTTAAATCGCGTATATTTCTGGTTCTACTTTACTACGAATGTTTTTCTTTATTTAAAAGAACCTCTAATCTTTTTCTATGAAAAGAACCAATTGAAAATAATAAAATAACATTAATTTTTAACAAGTTTCAAAGATATGCAGTTGATCAATCTGGGAGGAGATTCTACAATTGATTTAAGTTGGCTTGTAGAAATTTTACAGTTGATCAGTCTGGGGGGCTTCTTCAACTGATCCAATGATTTATATCAACATTTTGCAATAAAAAAAGCAAATAATTGGTTATCTTCAAGATACGCACTCTCGAATTTTTCAGCTTTTTTAAGGAATGCCGCCTTCAAATTGCTCTTTTGATTTACTCTTTTCGGGAAAATAAACTTGTTTTCCGTCTGAATTCATAGATAATTTTCTTTTACAATAAATTTATTTCGGCATTTTTCAATAAATATATCAATGAACTTTTTTTAATAATAAAATTTGAAAAAATTTTTAACAATGAATTGAAAACAAATCAAACATTATTTCAGAATTTCCCGAAAAAAGATCAAAGAGCGTACGAGGCTGGCTCCTGCTGCTACTATGAAGAGAGCATTCCTTAAAAAATAAGCTGAAAATAAATAAGTAAACAGTTGATTTTTTTATGAATAAATAGTTTGAACTTCTTTCATAACGTCATAGCAGTTATGTTGAAAAAAATAACGAGGGGGTCGTTATTATGCAGTAACCGGCAAAATAGCCTCTTACTATTTTTTAATTTTAAATGAAGGCTGTTTTGTTCTAAAATGTTTCAATTATTAAAATAAAAAAAAACTAACTTACGTTTTGAAGTTAACAGGTTTTTACCAAGGATAACTGGTCAGTCCAATGCTGTGTGTAGGTGATCTAAAATGGCGGTCTGTTTCAGGATTGGCACCACAGACTCATATCATGAGTAAACATCATTGGGGCAATAAAACAATAAAACTCAAATATTTCTTAAAACCCATGTGCATTATTATTTACTATCAAAATCAACTATAATCCTTATTTTGCTTCAGTGATTTTGCTCTTAAATCTAATCAGTATCCTGTGATATGCGAAAAAAATATTGGAAATTTCAATTAATCAAATTATTAATTAAACGTATTAATAATAATGCAAATATTTTCAAATTTCATGGACAATAAGAGAAAAAATAAATTATAATATAACAAAGACATTTGAAAAAATGCAATATTTCATTTTATTTTTATTTTAATTTTCCGCCAAAAAGACTTCAGGTTTGGGAAGGAGCGCAACTTAAAAAAAAGATTAATTTTATTTCTCCATAATTATAATCTTAAAAATCTTAAGACTTCAAAGAAGAAGACGACTTTTCTTTATAAAATTTCACAAATGACAAAAAAAAAAAAAAAAAAACTCTTTCCGGATTCTTTATTAGTAGTATCATGGTAAATGTAAGTGTTCTGACTAGCTACATTCTTTGGTTCTACCAGCATTGACCTTTTCAACTGAGACCCGCCATGCCACGTGCACAAAAATGCATCATCCTCATTGTTTCGTATTCTATGAGTAAGATGTAAATTACATTTGGACAGCTTCTTCTCAAAAACTGCTGCTTTGTGGAACAGTGTCACGGTAGGATGTTTTCCCGATCACAATAATCTTGACTTCTTCATGTCTAGTGTTAACCGTTATCTTCCCTCATGAACTGCACTTATTGGCTTTTTATGTTCATACAACACCGCAAAGTAACTCTCAACCTTGAGTGATTCTTGGGACTTGTACTGGCTGAACACTTAACAAAAGTTATATAACACCTTCGAGTCATTTTTGATGATTTGCCTAATTCTTTGTTTTTCATTTGTATTAGTTCGGGATATGTAATTTGATTGAGCTATTATTTGATAAGTTGTACATAAAATGGCGTGACAATGTAGTAGTTGTAAAATCAATGTGTATTGGGTGGCCTGACGATTGCATATAGCAGACTTTATACATATATATATATATATATATATATATATATATATATATATATATATATATAAGTAGTAGGACTATTTCCTCGGTCAGTACTAATCCATTTATTGTGCATAAGAGAAAAACGGTAACAGAACAATTTCTCTCTCTCACTCACACATACACACTTTCTCCTTACAATATACATAGGTGATCGTACCTCTCCACAACTTCCTGACTTATGCTACTCTAAGCAATTCCTCTTCCATTTGTCTTTGTGGTCACTGATCTGTCGACCATTTACTCACGCTCACGTAAATTTTCCCCTGCTTCTCTTACCCTCGGTGTGCACTGTGAGTGTTGGATTTTCCAAGTCTACTTACCTTATTATGCACCCCAAAGTTTTCAGTTATCTTTTTTAGTTGTTACCAGCAGTTTCTTTTTAGTTCCTATTCTTCTTAAAACTTCCTCGTTTACCACATACTCTGTCTATGTTATTCTCAGCATCAGTAGAATTACATTTCAGTTCATTCGAGTTTCGTGTCTCTTCTTCATCTGTGAGAAAAATAGTTTACATTTTCACTACTATGTGCAGCTCACTTTTCACCAAATCTAAATAGAGTAAACACAAAAGCTACTTCAACCAATAAAAGAACTGCAACTAATTCAATTTTACGCGTATAATTATTCAGTTACTTCGGGATTTCTCTGGAAATTTTGTTCATCATTAGGCTATGGATTTATTGATTTGTTTGCTTATAAGGTCCCTACCGCAGAGCGAAGCTTCTCATATAATATGCTAAATAAGTATTCAGTGTACGTGTAGATATTCAAGAATACTTGTAATTTGACCTTTGACTGGTGTCACTTGTCAGGTGTGTCGGATTTAGTGAATGACGTCAACATTGTACTTTTTATTTTTAATCTTACAGATCTTTTATTGTTGTTCCTTAAGAAAAAAAAAGTAAGAAAAAAGAAAGAAAGAAAAAGAAACAAATAAAAATAAATAAATAAATAAATAAAACTGTATACGCTAATAAAATAAATTGAATGAAAAAAGAAAGAAATGCAACACTATACAATAATAAAATCAATGAAAAGAAAAAAGAAATGAAACAGCATACAATAATAAAAATAATTTAAATGAAAATTTAAAAAAAGAATGAATGAAAGAAATTAAACAGTTCCAAATAAAAATAAATTGAATGAAAAAAGAAAGAAATTAAATAGTATAAGAAAAAATAAAATTTATTGAATGACAAGAAATAAAGAATAGAATTAAGAAAAAATGAATGAATGAATGAAAGAAATTAAACAGTTCAAATTAATGAAAATATTGAATGAAAAAAGAAAGAAAATAATTAAACAGTATACAATAATAATAAAAATAAATTGAATGAAAAGAAATAAATGAAATAGTTTGTTTTCAAATTGAAAGCAAAAAAACTCTGACACGTTTTAAAATATTTGCCAAAACTCAGGGAATTATCCAATTAAAATGGGATTTTCAGTACTTATTCATTAATTAACTTATTATATACTGAATAGATGATTTTATTAGAAAACTATTGAAGTTTTGGGTGGGGGTTGTTTCCTCACCCTGTTTGATATTTCGTGTGTACTTTTTAATTTTTTAGTTCGTCAAATTGTTTTAGTTATATAAAGAAAAATACCTTAAGATGTTATTTCAGTCAATATATATATATATATATATATATATATATATATATATATATGCCACATCAAGTGTGAACATACGAAAAATTCGATTCTTGCCAAAAATAATTCAATAAAACTCAAAAAATATTTTTTCTTACAATTTGTGTTCGTATAATTTAATAAAACGCGTTTTTTTCTTCCAGATTGGACAGAAAAAATCTAAATTTAATATTTATTTAAAAAAAACATTTTACAGTGAGATGTTTTGTTTTTTTTAAATAATAAAGACATGTTTGAAGAATCGAAAAATGTACAGTAATCTCATTTTCAAGCGTTAACCTTTTTAAAGAATTTTTATTATTATTATTATTATTATTATTTCAGCAAATGTTAGATTGCTTTTGGTACGGATATTCAAAAAAAATAAATCAGAATTACCGCATTTGATTACTCTTCTTACCCCATTAAAACTATGATAATTCAATAACTTTTAACTTTTAAATTAAGAATAATTAAAAAAATATATTGGATGCAGTTAAATATTTTCTGATATCAAAGAGGTACAAAACATTTTTAAAATAATATCAACATATTAAACTCAAATGCATCTAAAAAAAAAAAAAAGCTACTCTTAATATCTGTTGGATTTATAAAAACAAAATCCATCCACTTTCTTTACAAATAGTAAAAAAATAAAATTGTTCATTCTACTAAATTTCATAAAATCGTATGGAATAAAAAATATATTTTTTTAAACTGATACTTATATAAGGTTAAGGATAGTTTTTATTTTTAGCGTGAATACCAATGTCTTCATTATTGCACTGACAGTATTCGGAATTTCTTTAATTTTTATTTTTAATTTTTCGCGCGCTTTTTTCAGTCAGTGGTGTAACTATACTATAGGCTTTTGTTTTATTTTTAACTTCTGACCCCCATGGACTACTGTGTGTAAATAAACGTTATTTTCATTAAATTTTAAGTAAATAGTAAACATTACTTTTAAAATCCAACTAATTAATCCTTAAATTTGGTAAACGACTTCGAAACCTATCTCTAGGATAAATATTGGATTTTTAAAAGATTTTTAAATTTATTGCTAACATTTTTCGTCTATAATGACGGTTCCATGAGTCGATGTTTTAAAAATGCCTAAAAGCTTCTTTTATATATGGGAATTAATTCTTCTTTCAACTCGAACTAGCGTTAAACTCTGATCTTTCAAATAAAACCGAAATCTAAATCCACAGAAGGCATTTAAATTATATAAAATGTGTTTTTCGAATTTTTTATGAAGTTCGTACCGGTACTTAATATAAAAAAATAAAAATATATTGAAAGGAAGAAAATAAATGAAATTAAAGTTTAAAATAATGAAAAAAACATTGAATGGAAAGAAAGAAAGAAAGAAAGAAAGAAAGAAAGAAAGAAAGAAAGAAAGAAAGAAAGAAAGAAAAAAATTTAAATTTAAAACTTAAAATACATTTAAAACTTAAAATACATATGTCAAACGTCAAATTTGAAATTCAAATGTTGATTGTTTCCCTATCTTTCCATGTAAATTGTAACCGGCGTTTGTCGTACCTTCACGTACCCTATTCAGTGCCTAAGATTATTAGAATCCTGATTTTCAAGGTAGAAACACAGTCTTCCTACCACTGTCCGTCCACTCCCGTTTTGACGGTAAGCTTAACAATAGCGAAGAAAAGAAAATAAAAAGAAAAAAAAAGCGAAGAGTAAAATATCGAAAACAAACAACGTCCGATAGGCTGAATAGACGGATGAATGAAATAGAACGGAAGCCGATAAAGGAACTCTTTACTTGCCGCCAAACATTTTAAGGGGCCGTTTAACACGTTTTGCATTTACTCTGACCCTTGTAAAAGAAAAATCGCTTTTGTAATTTGAAGATCTGAAGCAAAGCGAGAGTGACTAAGATAACTTCCGATCCTGACCCCCAGCTTTAAACTTTCGCCTCGAACAAGATCGACGGAAAAACAAAGAAGCAAAAAAACAGAACTTACAAGCACATGTTTAACTTGATAGGAATAGAGTGAAATAGATACAGGTAAAATGAATTACAAACAGACTGAAGCAGAGTGCATGGCTTTCAGTGCTTAAACCAAGAATTGAATTCACGGACACCAAATAAATAGATTTTTTTTTAAATTAAAAACTTTAGTGATTAGACTATTCGGGCATAATTTGTAGACCTTAAGAATTTTAAACCTAATGTTTGATCCTCTCAGTTGGACTAATTTAGTGCTTATTTCTATCCTTAATATGCTTATGGCGTTATAGCGTTTTGACAATGTCCTCACGGCCACCAATAAATGGTTGCAAGCACATATTTAAATGATAGGAATAGAGTAAGATAGATACAAATGAAATAAATTACAGATGGATTGAAGCAGAGTATATGGTTTTAAGTGCTTAAACAAAGAACTGGACAAATAAATAGTTTTTATTTATGTTTTTTTTTGTTTTTTGTTTTTTTAAGCTTTTAGGCATTAGACCAGTGTTCCTAGGGTTCTGCAAGAGAAACATTGATAAATAGGCTAATGCATTTTTGAGTAATTTCTGTTTAATTTTATATTCGTAATTTTACTATACACGTACGAAATATTGTTGGAAAACCCTTGGTTATTATAATAAAGGCTTCAACCTCTTATATTATTTAAAATAAGGGATTGTATTTAACGATGTAGTCAGGACATGTACGTGGCGGATTCGTGTATCATTGAGTGATTCACTCGAGTACAGGACGCATGCACTATGACCATATATTATGTTTACCACGTGAACTACGATAAAAATATAAAAGAGATATTAATAATGGTATATAATAATTTTCATGCAGAGGTTCCCTGAAACATGAAAACTATTTAAGAATTCCACAAGAACAAAATAGTTGAAAAAGGCTGCATAAGGCTATTCTATCATAAGGTAGATATTTGGAATTTTACAATCTGTTTGCTCTTCCTGAATCGGTCTAATCTGATGCTTATCCTTGACATGCTGAGAATGTTACAGTGTTCTGACAATAACAACCAAGGTGGAGATACCATTCAGAATAAAGCAGTGTAATCTTTCTTTCAATGAAAAAAAAAATTGTATTAATGATTGAATGCTTATTCAGATTTGCAGAGTAGTATTTCTTCAATTATCTATTCTGTCATGTATATATCTATCTATTTATCGATAAAATTCGATGACTTCCGTTAGTCCGTCTGTCACACCCTCTAAATTAGCTATACACTGACCGATAGAAAACAAATTTTGGCGAAAAGGGCAAACAGGTAAGTGGGTACAAATACAGTTGGTTTTACTAGTGTGCGTAGCTTAGTACAATAAATTATATTTTTTTTATTTCTTTTTTTTTAATTAAAAGTTTTATTAGTTAACATGCAAAATATACCCACTATTTTAAAAACAATTGAATGATCAATACTGTTTTTTGCATAACTTTTCTTTAAGTTTTTATATATACAAGAATCCAGTTTCCAGTTCACCCTGAGTTTGCGAGAACTATAAAAAGAGCAAATGCTTCAAAAAGTTGAAATTTGGTTTCAGAAAGAAATATTTACGCATGGCCAGTTGTATGTTGCATGCTCAAGAGTAAAAAATCCTAAGAATTTATTCTTCGCTGTTGATAAGGAAAAAGGTAAAAAAGAAATTTTCTTAAAAATATTGTTTACCATGAATTCTTATAAAATTAATTTAAATTAATGAAATTATTAAATTGCAAAGTAGGGTTTTTACCAAACAAATCAGTTTATTCAAATGTCATTGATTGGTTTGCGAAATTGAACTAAACGTAGAGTTTGTAAATCTCAACAAAAATGTTTGTAAATCTCAACAAAAATGTTTGTAAATCTCAACAAAAATGTTTGTAAATCTCAACAAAAATGTTTGTAAATCTCAACAAAAATGTTCGCGATAACTTCAACAAAATTAAATACTGCTAAAAATTCCACGAGCCTCCAGGACATCAGTGATCATAACTATCCATAGATTCTTTTATGTTATTATCTCAAATTATCATGCCTTCTTGGGAGTGGTTTCCCATTGCTTTCTCCACGGTTTAAAATTCAGAATTTTTTTTCTCTGGTTACCATCCAAGTCGATAGTGCCCAGTCTGTGCTGGGGTTTGAGAGGTTAAATATTCATACTTTTCCCTGGGACATTTGTCCGAAAGCGACCGCGCCAGACTAGTCCAGAATTTGAACTCGGCTCGCAAATTTCGTTTTTTTTTTAGGGGGGGGGGTGCTTGCAGTGATATTACTAATACTACCTGCATATATTGCATATTACGTGGTAATATCTTGCTAAGATATACCTCTCAAAACACTAAGAGGCTATACTTTAATCATGAAATAATGATTTATTGATTCATTCATTCATTTTCTACAGCTTTGTTGGCTTTTTAAAACCAAAATATATATATATTAGATTATATCAATTTTTTTGTGGCGAGGATAATAATGGCTTAGTGAAATAAGTCTTATTAATTAACCCGCAGCTAGGGGAAAAGGAGAGAATTCATACTTTTCCCAAGGGCATTTGCGGCTAAGTGTATATAACGAGCTCAAGTGGAAGTGAAATTCGGCTCTCTGATTAACAATTCCGAGCTATTATCCATTATACCACCAGTACATCATCCAAGCTTACAGCACCTAGTATTTCCAAGAGGTCCCCCATCTAGATACTGACCAGGATCGACGTTACTTAACTCCGGTGATTGTAAGGAAACTTTTTTTTCAATATGATATGGCCGTAAACGTGAAATAATGAAAATTATAGGTATTTAAAATAAAGTTTTATACGATGACATCGAAACATATTTCTCTTTGGTTAGACTTACGCTGAGTACTTTCCTTGAATTGTAAGAATTTTTTGGAGATGATAATTATCTGATAGGAGTTTTAATATTTAACCAATGGCTGGAAGGAGAAGAGATGGAGTCATAGTTTGCGTCGTTTCGTCTACGGGAAAGGGCTTGTAGGGTGGAAAATAATTCATCACCCACCCATTTTTTAACTATGTAATCACATCAATGTAAACATTTCCATATGAAAGATTTAATCTGATGAGGCTATTTAAGAACATGACTCGAGTTTTCAGGTTGATGTTTTGGCGAAACTATCTGACAGAGCCTATTCCATGTTAAATTTCTTTCCTATACTTAATCTGTTATAGCAGATCCATAAGGCGAAGTATCTGAAATGTTTAGTATTTACTCATTCCATATCCTGTATTTTGATTCGGGATAAATGTCATCACTGCTTTCAACCCAATATAAGGCATTAAAAAAAGATCATCAGTTTCTAGCATTTTCAGTTTCATGGTAGAAAGAACAATTTTTTCAAGCTCCATATTTCACAAATTTTGTTTATGACTCTTAAAATGTGTAAAGTTTTGTTGAACCTGTTGCTACGCATAGAAATGATATACCAATTTGTGAAGGAGACACAAATGCTTGCTAAAACTTTTGCCAGCTCATATCAAAATCAATCGCACATACTTGATTAATGAGTTATCTGACCTTAGTTTCCCTGGGCCACCGAATAATGGCACTCGGTGCAATAATTTTTTTTTTTATAGTTGCACTTTCTGTTTCTTTTCTTATCTTTAATTATATTTCATACCATTTATTTTTACATAGCAGACATTTATTTTTACTTTATTTTTTGACCTTTCACCAGTATAGTATACCATTTCAGACAATGCCACTCCATATCAAACTTAATAAAAAGACTATGTGAACTTATTACTCTATAACATAGAGACCTTAATTTTATGCGCGCACCTATTTACACGCATATATAGTCACATATATCGATAAACAAAAAATACATTTGTATGTTCTAAGTATATATACTTGTCAGATAAGAGGTAAATAAAAATGGCAGTCGCTGAAAATAGTGAGAAAAAAGAAAGAAAAATGAGAAAAAATTCGAAAAGATTGATTTGACAAATCTGGAAAATGGTACTTATTCAGTTTTATGAGATTTGTACATGGAAAACAAGCTTGGTGAAAAAAAAACTGTGAAACTACTGCCCGTTAATATATGGAGAAATGATGCAGATGGAGGACAAAATATTTCCTAATACAAATTTATTTAAAATGTGGTGTATAGATAGATAGATAGATAGATAGATAGATAGATAGATAGATAGATAGGAACAGACTAAGATAGGTATGATTGCTCTGTTTGACGGATATTTTACAACGAAGCGCATCGTATAGTAAGCGAAATGAGCCAACACTAATCATAACAAAGGTTGGTCCTTCATTCAATAACGTTAATGTTCTGTATACAATAGAATTAGTAGGAATTCTTCTCCAAGTTATAACGAAATACATGCAATTGTTATTTGTTATGTAATTTTTTTATTTATTATTATTATTATTTTTTATTTTTTTGTAATAGTAAGGTTCACTCTGTACAAGGCCCGGGAGACACTCAAGGTAAAGGACTTCATGAAGTGGCAGTTTATGTGGATTCGATGATCTGGGCTAGTTCATAGGCGATGGCGGAGTCTCTGCAATATCTGCGTTCTTCACCGGTTTGTTCGAGTGGACTAACCATTCTTTGTGGTGGATATTGAAATCACCGCAGATATGGAAGCGAGCCGAGGGAAATTCGGTGAGGATATCAATCCTCTCAGACATTCGATCGAAAATTACTATCTCATCGTCCTGAGGGTGACAGAGTGCGAAGATGAATCTGGTACTATGGATAAATAGCACGCAGAAACACATATATGGGAGATCAGGGTCCTCATTTTTTTTTTTTTTTTTTTTTTTTTACTGAATACCATAGGGAAACCCGTCCTTAATGTAGGCTTCGTGGTGACTTAGGTGGTTGTGTTTGGCTATTGTGGTGAGTAGTCTGGTATTGTGAGCTGATTCAGTGGGATTGAGTGATTGATACCTGTTTAAAACAGAAACAGGAGGTCGGGTTTGGAGTCAAGAAGATGGTGTTGCACTTCTGGAATGTTGGAACACAGACTCCTCACATTGTGTAGAAGATGGTATACCTGGGTTAAAATGTTATATAACAAAAAAAAAATAAGAAACGTAGTAGTAAGGAAATGGATTAATTTAACGGTCTTTATTTTAGTTAAGAATTTAATTGAATCTTAGCACATTGTTTTAAAACCTTTGTTTCATTTCATCTCAATATTAAAACTTTCTAACACTATCATTTTTAATTACATGGGTAAGCCAGTTTTCTTCTTTTTTATTTATTCTCATCTTGTCAGTACAACTTTTTCGCAATTTCCAATCCCTAAGTAACTTTACAATATCTTGTTTCTCTTTTTATGTTATATCTTTCTTACAACAAATGAGAATCTTTATCGATTAGACATTAAAAAAACAGATATCAATAATGTACACTATTTATATTCGGACTATTGTCCTCATTCTTTTTGTTTTTATGATAACGTTTCAGTCGTTGTATCTTGATCTTGGTAATCTACAGGCAATTCTGGACTGAACCCTTTATTTAATCTACATGGGTAGACTGTTCTCGTTCCTCTGTTCATGACTAGGGATATCGTTAGAATTCTAATGGATAAAACTGGTAGCAGAATTAGTCTGAAAACAAGGCAAGAAAAATCTAGCTTTGTTCAAGAAATTGGAACAAAGGGTGCCTTTTTCATGATCAGAATGTTATAATGAGCGATAGACTAAGATCCTAAGATCTAAGATAACTATTGAATGATAGTCAAGCGACGCTTGTCGCACGTCTCTCTACTTGCCGACTGAAATGACGGAATATCAGTTTCTAGGGAGATGATTTTTATGATGATATCTATGTTGCCATGATTTTCTCGAAAGACAGCGGAATGGTTTCCTGTTGCTTTCTCCACAATATTCTATCGAGACACCACCTATTGCCTGTGACTATTAGAATTCGTTCTCTCTTGGTTTCTCTTTCCTAATGTATTACTTACCATCTCTTGCATTCACACAGTTTTGGGGTGATCCGAAAAACTATACACTTTAGTTTTAATGCGGTGTGGTGTCCGTACGACTAATTTGACACTTTAAATAAAAAATTTACATGTTTTTGCTCAGTGAGGCGGGACATTAGCAGTAAAGTTCCACTGTCGCAGATATTCTGTTAGAGGCTTTCCTTTCACTGGGCAGATTACCAAGTTGACAAAAGAGGTGTGCCGATCCTTTAAAGAAATATTCCAACGTTATAGAGGGCCCGTGAAGATCAATTCTCCGGGTGTCGCTTTCATTGTTAGAATTTGTAGTTTCATTTTATTTTATATAAGTTTTAACTTACTTTCTTTACTCTCTCTCTCTTGTTTCTCTCTTTCGTTTGTCTTTCAATCTCTGGCGATGCTAATATTTTGTGATGATATCTTTTATTTTTCGTTGATCTAAAAACATTTAAACTTCCGAAATTACTACTACTACACCCTGCGTATGACGATAAACTACATCCGGCAACAAAGCCTCTGATTGGGAAGTTTTGAGGAGCGTGGAACCACCTCTTAGTTGTTGTTGTTCCCAGGTCTCAAGTGACCCGGGGTGTTAGCACTTGTTAGGATCCCAGCTATGAGAAAATAGTGAACTCTCAAACTGGGGCCCAAATATTATGAAAGTATAAAAATACATTTTGATAGTAAAATTAGCAACAATACATTTTCATAATAAAAAAATTACCAGAAATAGGTTATTGGGTGCATACATAACTATAGAGCCCAGTTTACTCATTGTGATAGATGACTAGTGACGCTAGAATAAGGTTCACCCGCCCTATGACAGGTCTTGTTTTTAATTCAGTGAGATGCCTAACCATCCAGCACCCCAGAAAAACCTGATGGGGGTATCAGTTTAGTCGATGATGATGCGACCATGCAGTAGGTTGTAATGAATTACATTGTAGCAGCCGTACTCGTATACCTGATACAAATATGTTTTTTAAAAGACTCAGAATTTCACTATGAAAGTAATATTCATGTTAAAAGCTACAGAAAATATCATAAATACTGTTAAACAGCAGAACAAATGTGGGCTAAAGGAAAAATATACAGCAGAATAGCAATGATAATGATATACACATCTATTTTCGATGCACCTTAATAATAGAATGGCGTCATATTCTAGGAGGTTTAACTTCAAGGCCTCGTTTTAAATAATGTCTTAAAGTTATCTGAATCTATGCTCCCCCATTATAAAATCTAAAGGAAATGGTACAGCAGAAAAACAATGATACACATATATTTTAGATGCACCTTAATAATACAGTGGAGTAAGATATGTTTAAATGCTTTGATGCAAAGCTTTGTAAAACTACTTTTGATATACCCTAACATTTATTTCTCTGTCTTTAAAAATACGTGATTTTGTTTGTCTTATGTTTATTTATTTATTAATCATTTCACTCCAAACAAGGAACGAGAAAAATAAAAGTACAGGAATTAAGAAAACATGTCAGCAGAAAACGTCAGCTCGGGGAAAGTGCATTGAATCACTCTTCTCGGGATTAGTATCAGCCATGCTGACGGAAGATAGAATGGGATCTCTCAGACGATTAATGGAGAGCAATTTCGTTTTGGAATCGTTAAAATAAACAAGCCATTTCTTGCCCCAGTTAACAGCCAATTGTAGATTATTTTTTAGATCAGCTGTCAATTTGACTTTATCAAACCGATCAGATTTACTATTAAGGCAGGAGTAAATAGTTGTGTCATCTGCATAGATGCCGGGTTGCGAACTGATTCCATTAGGAAAGTCACTGATGAAAATTAAGAACGTGGGTCAATGAATAGAGTCCTCATGAATGCCTGCAACAAGATCTAGAAGTGTAGCTGCTCAAGAGAACTTTTATTTTGCGATTTGATAAGAGAGTCTGGGTCAATTCAAACTTTCATCCAAAAATACCATAACCTTTCAGCATATGCAGAAGACAAGTAGGCCAAACCCTACCAAATACCTTAGAAATATCTAAACCAAAAGCTCGAGCATCACCATTCTTATCTAAAGCTTAATAGACTCTTTCAGCAATAATCGTTAATACATCATCAGTTGACCTAGAGAAGCGAAATCCACATTGCTTATTAGAAAGAAGACCTCGCGATGTGAGTTTCAGCTACAACAGTCCAAAGAGCAATGAAAAAAAGACCTGAAAATAAAATTGTATGTGACACTTGTGAGGCACTTTGTTACTCCAGGACAGAAAGTTAGAAGGTTAGACAGAGCGAAGATCATCTTGAATAAGTTGACAAATGATCCTGGAATAATATATATATATATTTATATTTGAACTTCATTTCAATACTTCATGAGCTCCCAATCCTTAGCTATGATTAATTCATGATGAACATGTCATTTTCCTTTATGATCGATTTCATAACGATACTTCTGTTAAGCTTAGAGAGTAATTATACATTCTTATTGCTCAAAGTAGAGTCCAATAGTGTTATAACAACTTCGGAGAATTGCAGTAAGATATCTTTAATCATTTCTTCTTCTTCTTCAACAACAACAACAACAGCAACAAAAGAAGAAAAAAAGAAAAAGTAGAAAAAAACTGGTCATCCAATTCTGGGTTTATTTTAAGGGACAAGGCAAGGCAACTTGAACTAATTTTTGGTAATATAACAAGATTTTACTTCACTTCCTCCCACTGCTTGAATTCTTCGAGCTACTCAAATAATGCCTTAAAATTGTCAAAATTGCAAAGGTTGTATTTGTCATAACATCAGAAAATACACTGGCATAGTATCGTTATATATATATAAGTGATATTTTATTTATTAATCTGACAGATTTTATCACTTAAAACGTTATTTTAGTGGATACTCATATTTGAGTAGACACACAGTTTATTTATTAAACAGTATATTTATTTATTTTTATCTACCGGTATGAATATTCGAAAAATCTTATTATGGAAGAATGCGCTCAACAGTAGGATAAAAACCTGCCCCCACCTTTGCTGGAGAAACCGTCGTTAGATCCGTCATGCTTTGAGAAGGATTTGCCTTTACAAGGCACTATTTGATCGACAATGCACTCCCTGGTTAAGTCGATCCTGAGTACGTCGGATCTAATGACGGTTTCTCTTGCAAAGGAGCACGAAACTTTGATCTTTCAGGAGAGTGTATATTTTTCTTTAGTTAGATTTCTCGAATATTCAGATCGGTAGACGAAAATATTCTGTTTAATAAAAAATCAGTCCCTCTACTTTATTAAAATTCTAATCATCACTTTT